TCCTGCTTTATATATTATTATTATACACAATGTCTGTACCTGTACCTTAAATACCCTAGGCTGACCTATTATATAGCAATACAATACGCACACTCATGTCAACCAACAAGATCCAACTTCAGTGGTTTAGCAGTACGTACGCCAGTACTTACCTAAGCAGAAGTGAATACAGTCGTCGCCTAAACCGCTTTGGTGCCCTAAACCATCACAATCGACGATAATATTATGTATACAGCTGGCGGTAATAATAATAATAATATTAATGTCGTGTACCTATATATTTGCGATCTGTCAAATAATTATTCAAGGTTTCGTTCAAGTTCACAACGAAATATTTTATATACCTCGGTACATATTATTATTATGCGGTTATGATTTGCGGACAACGCATTATGCGTATACCTACATATCACTTACAGAGCGATTGCCGAGGATATTATCATCATCGTACGTGTGCTCGCGGTAAACGTGTATAATATATTATTATTATCAATCATTGTTTTCGATCGACGATCTCGTAATGTGATAATATTATTATTTAGAGTCAATATAGTATAATATCGTAATTACACGCACGCGATGATTATATTATATTGTTATATTATACGCGGGTACTTAAACTTGTACGTGAACAATCATCGGAATGGCATATTATATTACATATATTATTCTAATATTATTATCGTCGTCATTCGTGTGTATAATATATTTTGATATCACAATTCATAGTAACCACATATCATATTATTGTTATAATATAACCTCGTCAGCCCTCCCCCCCCCCCCGCGATTTACTGACTTGTGTGCGGTGCAGTTTCAACTTTGAGTTTTGTAAGTGCATCAGTGGGAAGTTGCGTTGTCCATCATAATATTTTATGTATATGGTAATGTATTTCCACGGAAATCCGTAATATGCTGAAAATAGTTGTTCGTGTATGAATATTCAAATCGCGGGAATGACTGTTATTATTGGTTAAGTGCAGCAGTGTGAAGTAGGTCCCTGCATCATATGTCATCAATGTTTAGCATATCTCATCAATGTTTTATGCAGTATGATGATACAATCATCATGAGTATCGTAGGAATATCTACCGGAAGCTCGTCTATGCCTAGGGAGAATAAATTATTTGTATGCGACTATTTTCGATACGGAGCGTAGAAGTCGTTGGACTTGTGGAATTTGTTTTTTTAACATTGATGTTTATATTTTTTTTTTTTTAAGTAGGTACGCCACACTTGCATTTGTGTGAGTTGATAAGCTATTATCAAACTTCAAATTAAGAACATTATATCTGTGTTTGTATACTTATATTATATTCATTTATTACATATATATTACCTACTTAATTAATTTTTTTAGGCAAATTATGATAATCCTAGTATTTGTTGATATTATATTATGAAATACATCCTCCTAACAATTTAATATCAAAATTCAAAAGTAGGTATAATATGGACCTTAAAGAATAATGCGTAAATGCATACTACATTATATTAGTATGTTACTTTTAACACGCACTTACCCAACTTATAAACCATTTATCTTAGCGATCAACCATATTATTTTGTTTTAAACGCGCTTGCCTCCTATGTACGTTTTGTGAATATCGCGATTCGTGACAGAAAATTGATCGCATAAGTTACATAAATTACATATTATGGTCAGTCATATAACATATTATTACCACGCGTGGACTGATATCAAATGTGAATTTTGGCCTGACACTATCGATGGTGGCTATGATTGTAGCTATATATGTCCGGCCGTGAATAGGTTCGAGGCCGTGGGTGTCGCGGCTAAAAACCGCATCCGTGCAGGACATTTAAATACTCATAACTTTATATTTTATTTTAGGTCCTACGGTGGCCGACAGACGGAATGTTGGCAAAAACATAAACGCTTTATCATATATTTTAATAGTCTGCTGATGAACGATGATACACATTTGGCACTTGATTTTTTTTTTATTCCGTCGAGACGTAAACGCGTATCCCAGTGGTGAAAATCTAGGTTAAAAGCTCGCCGAATCCAAAATTAACCGTTAAGCGCATAACCATTTTACGGGTAATTATATTGTGCGGTCGCAAACCAATTACCACCCTTCAAGTTGTTGTTGAAGTTCACCGCATGAAATATCTCATAATAAAATAATATACAATATTGCACCTGTTGTACCCGTGTAGGTACTAATAGTATAATATGGCTTTTATACTGTATGCGAAGCAACAGGTTGGCTCAGAAATAATATTATTTGATTTCTACTCTAACGGTACGCAACGAAATCCTAACGCAATTTAGTCGATCGTTCTCAAAGTATATAATATTTTTATAAATTCATAACATTAAATTATTATTATTATGTATTTCATTGAACGCATTTGTCATCTATAATATTATATGAATATATGCATTGGATAATAATATCTAAGTATTGCCGGTATTAATAACATTAAATTTTATATTGAATTTATTTTTTTTTAATAAGATAGATTTCATAACGCCGTTATGACATACAAAAGTAAGCATAAGGTTACATAAGGCACGTTTATTTATAAATGTATTATTTATTTAAGCTTATAAATATACAAATAAAAAATAAAAATTGAGACATATTTTTTACATAGTAATGAAATATTTCTTTAAATAATAATTCCGATTATTAGATTCATTCAGTGGGGTTCGCAGTATTACATTAATATAATATTGTACACTTATACATTAAAAAATCATCCAGTTGATAGATTTTCCATTCAATTATATTTTATTTATTTATTTACGAATTTCGTTTCCAGTTAATTTTCATACCACCGTAAATCGTAATGTAATATTCTTCGTACAGCATTATTTTTAAACACATCCTGTTGTTGAGGAAAACCATTATAATATACTTATAATTTATAAATTGTGATCAGATCACGTGCGTAGAAAACAAAATAGACTTCGATTATAATTATTACTACTTGAATTTTAGTAATATTATTAATTAATTTCTTTTTTATTATGCACTTTAGTTTTTAATTCCATTTGCATTGTTCATACACATCCGTCAACAAATTCATCTAGACGTGACGGAAATCACGAATAAAAGAAAAATGAATTCGTAGTATAATTAAAACGAAAGCAATATTTTATACCTACTCTTCAGTACAATTGCTCCTTTTGTGTGCTATTAAATATATTAATATGAAAATAAATTTACACCGAAATTCATTCGAATGACGTTTGTTAAGAAACAGTGTAAAAGGAACCAATGTAGTGTACAATTATTCGTTTTTTAATATCACGATTCTTGTATTTGATAAAAATGCAAATTGGTACATTCGTCGGGCTGTTACAATATGACACACAGTAATAATAATAATAATAATATGTAATATGCATGGACATAATAATGTAAACGTAATATACATAAAATTATTTATTCGTTATAGTTGTTAATTGTTATGGTATTGTGACTTGTGATTGTTGTCTTGTTGTAGTGTTGGACGAGTGTCGTATAAAATTCCGAGTTGACTGCATACTCGATGTAAAACAAGCATAATATAAACACTGCACACAACACATTATTGTAACGCCTATGCCGATAAGGATAACAATATAAAAATACAATGTATAACAATACTCATCTTCCTATAATAATTGTTGTAAGTTAAAAAAAAAAGTCGTAGGTACGGAACATACGATGTCGGCCGTCGATTCGATAATGACGGTTTTTATAAACATACGATTTAAATGTGTCACTTAAGGGCGTTTGACATTGTTTCCAGACAGCCCGAAGAGAATTACCCATACCTACTATATAGGCATTTATAGAGCGAAACGAAATTGTGTATTTGCTTACATGGTCTTAAAATATGCATTTTCTGTTTTTAAAAAAATGATTACATAAATCAAAGCGGTTTTGTATGATGTTTCGAACCATAGACTTTAGTGGTGGTTTTTTTTTTGAGGGAGGGGGTTGTTTGGGGGGCTGAAGCATCGTATAGAGCTTCTTTTTTTATTATAAACTACTTGGATTTTATAGGTATCACGTAGAACTAAACGTATTAGTTGTAAGCTATTACCAAAAAATAAGTTAAATTTGTTTTCACCCCTCCAAAGTTGTGTTGTTCATGATAAGTAACTAGCGAATTTTATTATCAACATAGCACCAACCATAAAAAAAATTCTAGATCCTACACCAGTGTTTTTTGTTACCTATGAATATTAACACAAATACTAAATTATTAAATATAATGCATATCGAATGTATAGATTTCAGTTCCCAAAAGAACAAACACGAATTTTATTCTTATAACATTGTAATCATTAATATTACTTAAGTATATTATAATCTTTTCTTAAAATTCTATAGTTAGGTCCAAAAATACCTGATACTCAATGCACTTCAATAGTTAGATATCTGTATCAATTAGGTACCCAGTTAATGCTCAATTGAATATATTAATTCAATATGTTTCTAGTTTTTTTAGCAATGCTTTTTATGTATAATAGGTATGTTAACAACAATATTTTTTTGAAAATTTCGATTAATTACTTATTTCTGACTCATTAATTCTCGTACTTTTCATTAGAAAATTGTCTTTCTGACTCGTTCGTGTTTTAACTATAAATACTAAATAGACGATTTTTTAATGTCTGATTGGGAGATAATATTTTTATCCCGTTATATTCCACGATGAATACACATCATCTAGTAAGATTAATGTCATAGACCACATTTCCTGTCCGAAGTTTTCATTCGGATTTTGTTTAAAAATAGATTTTCGGGTGGAAACATTCTCCCACCGCAGAGGACAGTGCACTGCACACGCCGTCCCGACCGAAACGCTATATTCGCAGTCTGAACGTGTGATTGCTGCAGCCTAGACGTATTGGGAAACTTGCATTTTCTTTTGATCATAATCTTTTGATTTATTTGCAAGTTCGTCTCATTTAGACGTTGTCGTTTAATTGTTTACTTCGTTTTAAAAAATTATAACTCGAAAACCACATTAACATGGCAGACGTAGAATACCAGTTCACAACCACCGAGAGAAAAGTCAGGAAAAGCAAAAAAACCACTTCGTCAAATAAGAGGAGAGAGAGCAACGATCAGGGCGAAGTTACCATCACTGAACTGGATAAAGAAAACGTGTATCCATTGGAAAATGGTCACGATGACAAGAGGTATTTTCCGAGAGCCCCTTAATTTTTAAAAAAAAAAAATCAACAACTATAATTTTATCTAATGTTATCGTTTAATTTGCCTAGCTAAAAACGTTACTCAGTAAATGTATGCTTTTATTACATTTTCGTAAAAACGTTTAATGGTTACTTATATTTTTTTTTTCATCACATTTCATCACTGGTCTTTTTTACTTGTGATCGGAAAATACCTCTTGTCTGACAAATATATTATTGGTAAGAAAAACTATTGATATATTATTGTTATTGTAACATTACGATTCGCTATTATACGAACGTATGATTTATTACATTTCAAATTATAAACCAATTCGGTTAATTAACATTATGATAATATGGTAATGAAACTTATTCACGGTCGTGAAAAAATATAATTCTATCTCAGTAGTCAGTTATAATAGTTAAAATAACGGCTAAATGGTAATATTTATACGATATAAATCTGAACAGAAGTTGTCATGTATACTATTGTGACGAAACACAACAAATCAAGTAAATCTAGGTGTAATTAATAATAATTAATTTATGTGTTACTAGTAAACACGCAAGTGACATTGTATATAATATCTGTAAGAATAAGTAGTCGGTGATTATATTATGTTAATAATATAATATATCAATGATTGCTAATTAATGATAATATTTAACATTTACAATCAAATTATTAATCCCATACACTTATGACTTATCCATCCCTTTTTCTTCAAACCAGTTTAGTTTATTTATGTATAATTAATAAAAAAACACCTAATAAAATTAGTTTCATGTGAGTGTAGCAAAAAAAAAATAACTCTTCTACTTAATTGATTTATAAATGTTAGTTGAAATATTTATGAATAATGTATGTATAATAATTTATAATGATAGTATTATACTATCATGTTAAGGTTTTTTTTTTTGTAATTTACCAAATATCCACCCAAACGTCATGTTACAGTCATAACGTTATACGATTAGGTAAGTACGTGACCTTTCCCAAATTAAATATCATACAGCTTGCGTAAAGATTTGATTATTAAACTATATTAGGTAATATTTGTAATAATTACGATTTACACCTTACTGCGTGATTTTCATTTTAACACAAGTAATTAAAAATTGTCTCTGAACAGCTGGAATTACTTATTTATCAAAGAAAATGATAAAATTTGAAATATAAATACCGATTTTCTGTACCATTATTCGAATTATTGTGTATATACGATTATCGCTTTTAGAACAAAATCACAACATATTGATTAAAATATTATTTTTTAATTTTACTGGTTTTTATCTAGATAGATAACATATCAATAAAATATTACCTACGTTACACATTATTGTTTAATTGAACAAGGTCGGTCTCGACAGATGTCTATTTATATTTTATTTTAAGTGTATAAAAATTAATTTTCAATTTACATTTTTCATTGATATTTCAATATAAAATTGATAATTATTTATTTTTTAGGTAGGCAATTAGTACCTCCTTACTAAGAATGATCTATTAAGTCCGGACTATTTTTGTCATAAATTAGTATGCGACAGCTATTAAATATTAGCACTCCAATTTTGAAAAAAGCGAGTAGCATACAATTAATGTAATTATCGTTGGCTAGTGGTGTAGTCATAATTTTTTTTTATGTCAAGTTGTAAAACACGCTCAGTTAGACAGATTTACAAATTTCTTCAAACGACACAAACAATATTATTATCGTTTACTTTTATGAGGACTTCCTTCGTGGTTAATTATAATTACATATTATATATGTTATACCTATCTGGTAATTAATGAAAACGCCATATATGTTCACATTTATGAAGAAAATAAAAATTTATTGATTTTTTTTTATGATGTCACACCCGACGTATATTATTATAAAATGTATAGTTAAAATATTATTCTTATAAATTATTCATTAGTTTTAGTGAAAAATAAAGCATTGGATTCCGGCAATTAAATATGCTTTCGATATAAATAAATTACTGAGTTTTTTCAACAATATTGTATTAATCCCATTTCATGTTTGCGTGTTCGATGTCTATATTAAAGGGTTATTCACTCCTGTTGTACAAGGCAGTAGAAAAGCAAGTGGAAAGTATTTATACGGTTTTTTTTCACATTTTTCTCCTAATTTATTATATACGCTCTCCGTATAAATATAAAATGGTTTCGGTCCATGAATTTCATATTCAAATTAGACCGTGGTGCATTAAACGGTGCATAGGAATTAGCTATTAATATTCTGCATGATCGTAAAAAATGAAGTAAAAACGCACAACACAATACAACAGAACTTCTCGTTTAGAAGAATTAAAATCAGAACAATATCTGAGACGCATAGAAAATTGTTTGAATTTGTTGCCATTCTCGATTGTTTTTAACAATATTTTTATGCTAGACACATATTATTCAAGATTCGGTTGTAGACATGTACCATTGAAGGTCGAATAAACGCGGTTAAATACTAAAAAAATTAATAATGAATAAATTATACTATAAGATAATATTATAAAGCGTCGTGTAAGCTGTAAATATGCATTGAATCGCAGTATTGTATAAAAATTACTATATGAACAAAGATAAGTTAGTAGTAGGACAGGCAGGTATACCTATAGGTATTTTAAATTTTGAATGATACAAAGAATGAATGGCTGTACCTACAAGGATGTGTAATTTTTATGCTCGGGAAGACGCTTTTTGCGGTAAACAGGTTAAACATTTTTATGTTGTACCTCTATGAAATGCAAGTAGTTCACAAATAGGACATGGGTACAAGTAATTATTTGAATAATTTTCAAGAAAAATGTTAAAATTATCGAATTTTTAAACAAGATTTTGATTATTTGTGATTAAATGAAGTTTAAATATCTGATCACATATCCTTTGTGTATTGGCTCCTTTTTTTAAATGCTCAATTATTCTACATAATATTTGTAATACAAATGAATGGATTTTATATGGCATTATTCCAGGGTTTATCATCACTCTGAACTAAAAAAAAAAAAAAGAGAAACGTAATCAAAACTTCAATCAATTATTTCTGATTGTGTCTTGAGATATTATTTTTGATATTGGAAACCTCATAACATTAAAAAAAATTTGATAGGTATTGCATTTACATGGATTCATTTTTGCATCATAATATACTACCCACTTAACCAATATCAATAAATTAATTAATAGAAAAAATGAAATATATTTTATAAACCATAGTATAATGATGAAAAAATGGTTTCATAAATAGTGTTAATCAAACGAAATAATATTATGAGAAAGGAGATATTTCCATAGAGATCGAGTTATTGAGAATGGTCAGAATGTCTTAAGATTTAGATTTATAGTAGGTACCCATCACATTCGACTCATGACAACATATAGGTTATTTTGACGATTTTATAGAAAATAAAAATTGATACTTTGAACTCCACGACCTCGTTGATATTGGCCCCTTTGAATTTAAAAGGTCAAAAGATACGACCAATGTACGAGTAATACTACGATCGCGTGAAAAGACAACGTTTTATGCGGGCGTGGTGCCTATACCTATTTGTTGGTTTGATTATTTTTCTAGCAAATTGTTCAACTCTGACATTTTCTAAAAAGTTCTAAAAAAAGAATTGAAAGTTTGACGACTTCATTAGTTTTAATTCAAAGTTCCCGAAAATTTTTGGTGAAGTCGACAAAACCAATAAATGGAACAACATGATACCCCCCGCGAGGGTCGTACATATTGCTCTAAAAGAACTTAGAGTCCAATTATAGTTTTCGTTAAAACATAAACATGATGGATGTTTGGTAATTCGGCGAGTAACTCGAATAATATTTTTAATGCTTGTGCGAATTCCGTTACATTTAATCCCCAATACAGTATTATTAATCATACACACATTTAAGTCTACTATACACACCAGTAATTCGTTGAACAATAAAAGGGGCAATACAATTAATATCCGTGTTGAGCATTATGCTGTTATCTACTAGACCGTTGAATCATTGTGTGTTTGATAAAGTATTTTACGGAACCGTTCGTTTTTAAAAAGTCCACGTTTGAAACCGATGATGGTTCTTATGAAATATAATACGTATTTATGTGGTATTGTGGTGTTTATTGGAATTAACAAATATACGAATTTGCCTTAGTTGAATCTATAACAGATAATAATATTATAATAATAAATCCAGTTGTTACAGTCATCGTATATAGTTTTATGTCGTAGTTTATAAATTTTGTTTTTCCCAAATGATATTTATTGGTTTTTTTTTTTGTTTTGTTTTAGCTAATTTTCAGTGGAGAATACACCAAGGCTATGAACAAGGACTGGCATTCCGGTCACTTCTGTTGCTGGCAATGTGACGAATCGTTAACAGGACAGAGATATGTTCTCAGAGACGATCATCCATATTGCATCAAATGCTACGAATCTGTGTTCGCCAACCCGTGCGACGAATGCGACAAGACCATCGGAATCGACTCTAAAGTACGTCCATCGACCGAACTGGTTCATATTTTATAATTTCCGAGCTTTTAGGTCGCGACTTTCAGACCGATATATCAATACAGTGGCCAGGATGGAGGGGGGGCTGATAACTTCTACACTTTTACACATTAAATACCTACTATCACAGATAGATAGCTGTAAAGTGTTAATACTTATAGTACATTTTTAAATATTTTAAATACAATTTAAGATTTTTTGAGCGACTATCGCATAGACCATTAAAATAATTTTTAACATTTCTTCCTATCAACCAAACATCTCTCACTACACAATAAAATCCTTATGTATAAAGTATTCCTCAAACCTATCTGGTCCTATGGAATTCAACTCTGGGGATCAGCCAAAGACTCCAATATAAACCGAATCCAAACATTTCAATCCAAATGCCTCAGGCAGATAACTAAAGCTCCTTTTTATGTATCAAATTATACCCTCTACAGGGACCTCCTCATTCCGACACTAAGAAACGTCACCAAAACCCTATATAAACGTTTCCACCTTAAACTTTCAAATCACCGAAACCCTCTCATCCAAAACCTCTCTTCTCAAACAATCCCGGACGACCCTGGCTGACGTTTAAAGGGTAGCTGGTGCCGTGACCTACTAGTTGACTAGTCCACCATCCCATCATGAAGTGCTATTAACGAATAGCTTCTTCATCAAGCCAACCATGACCTATAATGTATTATACCTCCATTGTGATTATTGTAATTATTTTTATACAGATTGTACTAATAAAACAAATATGACAAAAAAAAAAAAACATTTCGGGTAGGCTACAGTCTCCTCAGGCCCCCATCTCCTGGCTGCGCACAGTGATATATATATATATATATTATATATATACCTATATTTATAATCTTTAGCCCATACCATATAATATCCCGTAACGATAGAACATTTTACTTATGTATAACTGTATTTTTCTCAGGATTTGTCGTACAAGGATAAACATTGGCACGAAGCTTGTTTCTTGTGCAGCAAATGTCGCGTCTCGTTGGTGGACAAACAGTTTGGATCAAAAGTGGAAAAAATCTATTGCGGAAATTGCTACGACACTCAATTTGCTGCTAGATGCGACGGCTGTGGAGATATATTCCGCGCAGGTAATTTTTTTATGTTATCTACTAAAACGAGGATAAGACAAATAATAAATGTCACGTTGGTAGTTGTACCTGGTCATAGGTAATAAAAATTTTGTTCGTATAAGTAACGTGCTACTAGATATTGTTACCTCTGCGATAAAATTGAGGAATCATAGACAGCAGGTTTTGGGTATACTATATAGTGCTGTGAAAAATACCTATAATACAGTAGCATTTTGTTAGGAATTTAATTACATTTTTTTTTGTTGATTTTTGTTTTTATTCAGTACACAAAGCGTTACGAAAATCGGTTAGGAAAAAAAAATTGTATCCAGCCCAAAAACATATATTTATGTTAAAACGCATCATCGTTGAAGACGATGTAAATTTTGAATGTTTGAACTACCTACTTACAATAATAATTAAAAAAAAAAAGTTCTTAAGTTAATATTTATAAAAACAATAATGCGCTCGGGCTTTACGAAATCTACGGTTCAAAATCGTTTTAGCAAATTACAATAATGTGCAATATCGTAATATTTAGTCACAATTTTCATTCCAAATATTTAGTCGGGATTTAAGCGGTTTTTCGTACACTTGATGATATGGTGATTTAGTTGTAGTCTGGTATCCATATAGCTTAGTTATAAATATCCATTAGGTATATTATAGCTCCTTGGTGGATAAGCTCGATGAAACAGTGATGTCTGGAAGATATTTACGTATACGCTGTTGTGTTTTTCAAGGCACAGTATATATTATTATATAATATTATAATATACAATATAATTTGTACATGACTTGATTCATAAAACATCTTATCCAGCTTGCCTTGTTAATTCTTGAACAACACAAAATATTATATTGATCGAGTTGATCGTATTATTTTAATCCGTTAGCCCATTAAATGTTTTCTAAAATATGGTCGTACTTTTTTCTCAGAAATCGTGTAGCTTCTATAGGACCTTATATGAACGTTGTGTTAGTCTATCGTTGTCATGGTAACCACGCCATTAATACCGCATAATATTATAATATCGGTTGTGTGTTTTTTTTTTTTTTTTTTTAGTCGACGATTTTTCTTACCATAATAATTATTATATTTTATTAGTAATCTCTGATATTATCATATTATAATGTCGTCTCTCATTGACATTAATCCATATTTATTGATATTTCAATACGTTGCACCGCGATAGACGTCTACACTATATAATATTATATATTTATACACAATCTAGTGTAGTAATCGTCTGCGGCTCAAATGTGCACATTACCGTTTTAGAAACCTATCCACTTGGACATAACGATGTGTCTAATTCGATTGGGCGATTTATGAAAATTCACGGCATTTATAGTCTGCAGATCAACATTGTGCGTTCGATTATATTTTGAAAGACTCATGTAGAAACCTACAGGAACCTGACGTGTTTCACGGTGTTTGAACACCACCTGTGTGTGTGTTTTTCATCGACCCCTATTTCTTCTCTTCTAGACTGGTGTACATTGTCACTTACGCGTTTTAAAAAAAAAAATTTAAATACATAATAGTGTTCAGCGTATACCTATAACTGATATTATACCTTTCAACACTTTCTCTGCGTGCATCGAATTCGTATAAATATAATAATATTATGTCGTACTTCCGGTGCAGTGGGGACTTTTTAAAATGCCGAGCAGACCGCGAATTAAAATCCAAAGTTTTTCCAACGATGTGAACTCTTTTTGGACATCCTACACTGTACGACGACGGTGATGAGCCAACAGAGAATCGTTTAAAAAAATAAAACTCGTACACGTGGGAGCTGCACTCGTCGACGTTCTTCGATCCACGGTGTGGTGTTGCGAGAGTGAATTAATACAAGTCAGCTGTGCACTGTTTGTTGATTAAAAAACAACACCATTCTTATAAGTATATTATAAATGCGCTGTAATGGTGCAGGTGACATCATCGTCTGATATTATTGCTGCATCATTATCGTTTTATGCGTTTTCTTCTCTCGATAAGTCCCGCGTACAAGGTCAAAATGATAAGTCCGCGCTCGGTTTGACGTCCGTCGTAGGTACATAATAATAATAGTAATACGTACCTACCCATATACCGTTGTTGCGATCACGGGTGACATTCCCGCACATTGTACAATATAATGTACTTAGGACGATTATTTGAGCATAGCGTATGTTTCCATCAATCCAACTGGTAATATATGCATTATACATCTAGCAAAGTTCAACAACATGTTCAGCTTAATTTCAAGATAACATCATATTTTCATATTATTATTATTATCTTTTTATAAAATATTTCCCGACGAAGAAGATGGGTATTGAGTTTACTTTGTCCATGCTATTATAATATTACTCATATATAGTCCGTATTTAGGTACTATACAGGTCTATTTAAATTATTATTCGTTAGTTGAATATTTTACGAGTTTGATAATAATATGACATTACCTCGAAAATAATATCCTCGTCTTCAGACTTGGCGATGGGCGTTTAAACTCCAATACAATATCAACCCAGATGCCACAGTGTTGATTTTGCGCAGTGGAATAATGCCCGTTGGACAGAAGGAGGCAGTACCTATGCATTATAATTTACGGGTATCACGTCCTACGGGCCGATCGCGACGTATTGTTGTAATATATTATAGTCTACCATGATGGATGGTAACCGATTTCTGGTAATGCGTCAGGTATATATATACATAGGTAGAATCGCCTCTAATTATATCGACTACGGTTCCTGGTTCCGATGTATACGAATTTTTATCCTTTATGGGTTTTTGATCGCTCCTCCTCCCCTCCCCCCTCTCCGCCATGCGACCGAAAACTATATCCGATGATGGCAATATCAATAATATTATAATAACACAATAATAATAATATCATTATCTTCGTGCGATGGCCGGAGGTGTAGTGTATCTATTTAGTATTATACTTACACCGTGGGCAGGTCGGAAAGGTCACCTGGTGTCCCGGCGGCGGTGGGGCGCGAGCGCTCGAGGGGGGGGATAGATAGGTACACCAAGTAGGTATATTATCACGTCCGGACTCGGTGCCCGTCGTCGTTTGTCACGCGCTTTTGGTTCAGTACCAGTGCAAACATGTCCGTGGACGTAATGACCAGCAAGTTCGGTAACATCACGCTGAAGACCAGCACGCCCAAAAAGGACCCGGGCGACGACGACGTGGCCATCCTGTCGTCATTTCTACCTGAATACCTGATGAGCCCCGCGGCCATAACCAAGAACAAGGCTTTCGAATGTTCGATGAAACGGGACTGCAGACTGGGAGACCCCAAAGCCACCCCTCCAGGTAGAACCGTTAAATGTATACTCTTTCGAATACTATAATATTAACAACCCTGCACGGCACAGTAGAGGAGTTGATTCCCGAGACCTACTTTATCTATTAGTTGATGCCCGGGTCAGTATTAGGTATGTACGAGTTGATTCCCGGGTCATTATAATGACATATTATGTTATGGTATACTGGTAATCTCATTACCAGATACCAATTTTTAAAAACAATGTATTATACATTTTTAAAAAATTACTAAATTTTTTTAATAACAATTTTTTACCTAATTACTTAATTTTTTAATAATAATTTTTTAACTACTAAATGTTTTTACTAATAACTTTTTAACAAAACATTGAATGATTTTCAAAATACGAAAAAACTAAAAAGTACAACATTTTTGAAAAACATGTCAGCCAACCTGCTAATGGTGTTTCTTGGGTTAGGCTGAATATTTGACTATATGTATATTGAAAATAATATTTAATGACCAGGGAATTAACTCGTACATATACCTCTTGACGACCCGGGAATCAAATCGTACGTATCTCTATTAATGACCCAGGAATCAACTCAACGGTATCAGTACAGGTAAACAGGTACCCGGGAATCAACTCGTACACAGCCCTGTACGGCTCCTCCACCCTGTCGTCATAAGAACGAAAGATCTCGGCGACCCATCGTATCACGAATCTCCTTTTTTTATTTTTTCATTTTTTAAATAATCACTTTCGTATTATTTAAAAAAAATTACACGTTATTTTGACGTTCAATTTGTGGGGTACTTAAAATCGATATGCATTTCGAGAAACCCCTCAACGGTTAGACTGCGCAGTGGATACAGGACTATCGACTCTCAAATTCTCAATCTCAGACGGTAAATGGTTTTTTATTTGGCCATCGATTTTGTGTGTGGTTTACTGCGTGAAAAATAAATGTAACTACTCTTACCAGTTACGGCGATGACTCACAATATTATGTTATACAGTCTAAAATGAAATTTATTTTTGTGTCTTATTATAATAATAATATTATGACGTATGAAAATCGCCATATATGGTGATTATAATAATCTTAACCATCTGTTTGCTATACACATGATCGGGTACCTAATCACATTTTATATAATATATAAATACATAATGGTACGTATATAGTTAGTACACTTCTCGTTAAGCTTACAACAAATACTTAAAACGTTCACCGAACGTTAAATATGTTCACTGACACTTGTGATTTTCTTCAAGATATCTTAACTTAAATATATTGTATTTTTTTTAAATCTCAATCAACTTGTGGAGAATTCTGTGGTAAAATATGTGTTCATTCTAATTCGTGTACTGTGTTGTACGATTTATTTTCATACTCAAAATTACCGATAGATTCTGTGGTGAAATACTACGGATTCTATAGAGTAGGTACTGAAGGAGCAGGGGTAACTCGTTAATATGTGCTGCACAAAGTTCACTTCTCAATATTTTAAATGCTTAGGTATAATTAAAAACTATTCGTTGGATACTTTTTTTGATATCTATGTTAATATTTTAGGAATTAAATTCTACACTTGACTACTATATACAATTAACATTATCAGTTTCCATTTAAAACGTATAAAACGAATTTTGGGAAATTTGTAGTATAGGTATTTATCTACGAAAAAAAAAAAAAGGTACTGAAAAAATAAATATCTAGTATAGGTTAAATAGACTACTCAGTACAAATATTTGTATACGATAATCATTAGGTAGGTAGGTATGTATTATTAGGTACTAGCTTAAAATTAAGTTTTTATGGCTATATTTATGCATAGGTAATTACATAATCTACCATAGAATTACTGTTAGGAAATTAGATTTTTTATTACTAAAAAAACATGGAATGCCTGAAATGTTTAATGTGCCATTAAATAGTTGAAACTTATGACATTAGGTAGTTAGTTTGGGTAGGTATAATATATTTTTGTTTGTATTTAATAGATAGTATTTCTAATAATTTATTATAAAATTAAAATTGATTTGATAGAAAACTACCTAACTAAAAAAAAAACAATTTATACTTTTTCATTGAATGTGCATTTCTTAGCAATAATCGCTCGTTTAATATTTATCGTGTAAAAAAAAATACACTATTTTCGAGTGTGTAGATAATGCGATATGAAACGATCAGAATATTACACTAGGTACTGAATATTATAATCGTGTAAATCTGAGTATTTTTTTTATTATTTTATTACCTATTTATTAATCTGAAGTGGTTTAAATTTCGAGGTTGAAAATTTGGAATGTACCTACTTATTTTTGTTTTATCAAAATTACACTTTCTCTAAAAACGAAATGCGTCCGAAACCGTACCGAAAACTGTGATTTCGATAGCTCTGTGAAGATAAACCATTTCCCAGATTAATCTTTAAGACATTAATTATAGGTATAGGAGTGGCGATTTTCAACCGTGATCGCCTGAATTTCTTTTTAGATGGCAATCGTAAAACCTTGACGTGCAAATTTTCAATATCTCGGGACAACGGCGATTTGTTGGTCCCGTGGGCGTAATTTGCGTCCTTATACCATTGTCTCCGTTAGTACCTATACGATATATCCGTCGAAAAAACTAAACAATCGCAGCCACCATCATTATCGTACATATTATAATATCCGGGGGACAATAAATACACTTAACCGATCATTCCGCATGCTCGTACTTCGTTATAAGCTCGCTAGACCGTATATAAGATATATATTTTTTTTCAACGGCCTTGATCTGCATTTTAACATAAATCTAAGGTCGAGTCCGCGAAATTGGATCCCGTGGATGTTGCTAAAAGGAAATAACTGGTCTATGCGTACCTACTACGACTCTGATAACTTACTGCAGATATATAAGTAATAAGTAATAACTATATAATATATTATTATATTGATCAGTTTACTATACTAAATGTTGTTGCTGTTGTTATTGTTACGTTTCTCTCATTCTCGTCGAAAAGACTCCTCGAAAATTAATAAGAAAAAAATTCACTAGCCATATATGCTCAACGTTCTATCTAACCGTCGCGACCTTCCGTGGATCGCAACAATTATATTATTATTATTATGAGAGAACACGCCACTCGGCCACACGGTGTTGGCTGAGGCCGAGATGATATAATACCTGCTGAAGAGTAGCATCGTTCGAGTTATCGCTGTTGTCGTGTTGAGTAACTGCGATTGCGGCTGTTGATTGAAGACTCGTCGTGGGTTTGAATAATAAACGACTGTCTGCAGTCGAATATATTATACGGAGAGTGAGAGCGAAGCAGCAGAAAGAAATAGATAAAAGTCGCGGACTATATAGAGAAAGACCTGCTGCAGAGAGGATCCGGAGATGTGGTCGTTTTGACAGTCTTATAAATTCGATGTGCAAATCGATGACTAATTATTTGCCGGGTCCCAGACGAATTCGTCTCGTGGTCGTCGTCTCGCGGTACAGAAGATAACAAGTCGTGTGTTAATCGGCGAAATATGTAGGTAACTTAAAAAATAATAATATCTGTCTGGCCGTGGGACGACAATCGCATAACACACGCCGCACCGTTCATTTCACTCGGCGGGACCCCGTGGGAGCGAAGGACCCGCGGAAGGAAACATAATATTTTCGACAGCGCGAATCTGAGTCGTTTCCACTTCCTATCTCTGTTTACCTACCACTGCGTGGGTTATCTTGAACAGCCGCGGTGATGCAGGTAGACGACTATAGGTACAGTGGGGCTCAGTGGGCGATTCTCGTTAAACGCTATCATATAATATTATACTGATTGATTTTTTTTTTCGTCGAGCGCCGCAGAAAATATTATAACACACAAAGTCTACAGTGGCCTAAACGTGATTCATCCGTGTGCAGAGGGAGGGGAGGATCAATGATAAATAAAAACCTAGACAATAGTTATGTACGCGTTATGTCAGACATGGGAGTAGCTGCGGTAATGAATATATTATTATAATCACCGACCAATATATTTTCTTTTAAACAATAATAATTATATTGATAAAAAATTTGACTCTTTATAAATAATAAAATCGAATTTTGTTTAGTATTTAAATTTTTTTTTTCTAAGAGGAAAATTTATAATTTCAGGAATTTTTAAATCAGGCACCAATTCGGTTATAAAATTAAAAAAATTAATAATAATAGGTATAATTCTAGGGTGTCTTAAAACAAACTATTATATTGGTTTTAATCTAAATTGATAAAAATATTTTCTGAAAACTAACTGCATCAGTTTTCAATAACACAAATTTCATAAACACCTACTCGAAAATTCCCTTACATAATTGTATGTAGATTTTCAACCGATGTGGTTGGAATAATTTCTCAATGTATTGAATTTTTTTAACGCTTTGAAAAACTAATTTTCAAGTTGGGATTAATACAGTAACTACACCTTCTGTATTTAATTCGTTGTAAATGTTAAATCAAATAAAGTAACAGAAAAAAAAGTTAAATTTTACGGATATGCTTAATCATTAGTAGTAGCTAACTAAAATTCGTTTTATATTTTATCGTCGATTATAATGTATTTGTTATTTTTTTATGTATATAATATATATACATTCTCTGGTATACAATTTCTTCCTATGAATTAAAATTTAAGAAAAAAAGGTTGTCAATAAATGCATTTACTTATATTAACGGCATCAATATTATTTGACGCAATCCTGTTGAAAATTGGACAATATCCCGTATTAAAAATGGGACTTATATGATTTAATAATCATTACAATTCACACCAAGACAATGCGTATATTTGTCACAATTATTAGATATAAAAAGGATATGAACCGTCGACATTTTGTGATATTTCATTTTTATTCATATTATATAATATGCATATTTTGTTTTCTTTCTCAGGAACGAAAAAGATGGAGTACAAGACCAGACAGTGGCACGAGAAATGTTTCAGCTGCGTTGTGTGCAAGTCGGCCATCGGCACCAAGAGCTTTATACCAAGGGAACAGGAAGTTTACTGCGCCACTTGCTACGAGGAAAAGTTCTCTACCCGCTGCGTTAAGTGTGACAAGGTACAGTGTCTACAATAACAAATTATATTGAAGCAAAGGTTCAATTTTCACAGAAAACTATGCGACACACGCCCTAAGATTCATTTTTGCACGTCACTCATATTATATTAATATTTAAAATACAGCGAAACCTCCTCTAAATGGCACACCCAAATTGTGGGCACCTCCTAATAGTGGAAGTTTTATTGGGAACCAACCTACAAACTTTCTACAGTTAGAACCCGCTGAATAACGGACACAATTTCAGCGACTTTGAGTGTCCGGTACTTAGAGGTTTCACTGATATATATTATGATGTAAAACTTATTCTCTCGCTCGATCATACCATATGATGACCCGACTTATTTAATTTCGATCCGGTATCACAACAATCAGTCACATAACAATATTATATTATAATATTCAATGAATGGAATTTTTTGAATGAGTACCAATTAAATGTGTATACATTTTCTTTTCATTACGGTTAATTTAGGAAAAAAATGTATGCGTGCAGAGGCGGTAGCGTGGTGTACGTTCAACGGGTATAGAGCGAAGAACGTAACTGATCTTACATTATGAATTAATGAGTACTTGTGTGTTTTTCGACTTTATTCTTTACCTATATTTATTTTTATTTTCGTTACCATCACAGCGGGTAGTTAACCACCAAATTGTATCGGTGTAATACGATGGCTATATTTGGATATGTTGGTACGATTGAGCGCGGCTTGTTGACAAAACGAAGGATATGTAATTATGTATTTTATACTCTTAAAAATGAACGATTGTAAGCAAAAATGAAAGATACGTTGCCAAATTATGACTTGATTAACTTTTATTGATTTTGCTTTATAGCACAAAAATAAATTACAACAATATATTTAGTTTAACCATTTATTCAAATTAGTTCATAAAAAAATATTAATGGCCAACATAATACTTATAGGTACAGTAGTTTAAAAAAAAAACAGCATACAAATGAATTTAATTCATTTTCATTTTCGTTTTCTGTCATCGGTAGTTAGTAATCTCCTCTTAAAATTTGGGTTGGTCGGGTAGTTTTTTCTAAGCTATGGATTCCATCGAAGATATACACAATATATACATAATATAACAAAAAAATTGGTAGATGATGACCGTGGATTTTTAAAAATTGTATTAAATTTGCCTATACAAAACCCCTTAAAAATCGGGTGTGTGTTGTCATCGTAAATATTCACAATAATAATTTATCATAATATGTACATTATACCCACATAATATTATTATATAGCTAATCAACTGTTGTTTGTGTGTAACAGATTATCACTAGTGGCGGAGTGACATATAAAAACGAACCTTGGCACAGGGAATGCTTCACTTGTAGCCATTGCAGCACGTCGCTGGCTGGACAGCGTTTCACGTCCAGAGACGAAAAGCCGTTCTGTGGAGATTGTTTCGGAGAGTTGTTCGCCAAAAGATGCACTTCATGTGTAAAACCGATTACAGGTACGCAATCCGCAACAAAACTCGTGTCATGTAATTGAAGATGTTCCTGAGGAATATAAAAGAAACATAACATTGCCATAAATTATTTTTACCCTACTCTCATTTTTATCACTAGAAAGTATTAAGTGATATATGATAAATTAGGACATAATGAATTATAAATAATACAATTTCCTATACCTCAAATAGGTATAAAAATACCAAAAAAGTTAAGTTACAAGCAAATATAGATAAAACAATATTACAATTAAGTCTTCTGTATAATATAAAGTTGACAATAGTAGTTGTCTGCAGCCATGCAAAGATTGTAAATGAAGATCGGGTCCGCGGCATTAATTGTAAAAACTATGATTGAAAGCTGGTCAAGATATAAACACATTTAATATATTATATATACTGGTATTCAGTATTATTAACGAATAATAAATTACATGCATTTGTTTTCAATAACTGACATTGAGAACTATTTTAAAATTGCATTATTACTCTGGATTAGTAACGGTTGGAGGGCAAAGCTCTTCATTATAAAACATAGGGTTCAATCACCCGTTGATATGATTCACTATTTGTGTCTAAATGGAAATTCGACTTATTATACAGGGTGATTTTTAAGCATATTTACCCCAATTTTTCTTTTTAATAGTAGGTACCTATATTTATTCTGCAGATTCTGATTTTTAGAATTTTTCAAGTATGTCCAAAGACCATATTTTCCAATTTCTGATATATTTTTGTACCAATTAAGGACCGTATCTTGTGGCGATACAAACTTCTATTTTCACTCGAAAGAGAAATGAGAAATATATAGGAAAAAAACATAATATTATATTTACTATGTCTAACGCGAGTTCTATCCCACAGGAATCGGCGGCACTAGATTCATCTCGTTCGAGGATCGCCACTGGCACAACGATTGTTTCATCTGCGCCGCCTGCAAGACCTCACTGGTCGGCAGGGGCTTCATCACCGACGCAGAAGACATCATTTGCCCGGAATGCGCCAAGCAGAAGCTTATGTAAACACGGCGCCGCACATAATCGACACAACCACCTGTAACTCCGCACTCCATCGTATGACTATATAATACGTTATGTCTTATCAACGCCGTCTTAAAGTCACTATAAATTATTATAATAATAATATACATACATAAAATATGCAATACACATTAGATAAAGAAAATATGAACTTATACTGTCGACGACAGACACCTGTCTCCTTTTTTATGGCTTACGCGAGGCACCCAATATACCCATCACCATACGGTGACGACGCAGCGATGGCAATATTCGTTTTATCCTTCAAATATTATAATATTAATTTTGGTGTCCAAGCTCCGGCACCGGATCCGAGTTATTTATTTATTTGTTTTTATTTATTCGTACGTTTTTCATGTACCGACACGTGTGCCTTAACGTATATCTAATGTATATCGTATATCACTATAATATAGAAATGTATTAGATATTGATAAATAAAATATATATATCGATGTAAACCCACATAATATTAATAGATAGATTTATATTTATTTATATAATATTATAAAACTAACAAAACAATATTATTATTATGCGTAGATCAAAAGGTACTAAATACTTAAAATTGTTAAAAAAAAAAATAATTATAATAACAATAGGTAATAAAACTTATGTAGTTCACTAACCCTGAGTTTGAATATTATAACTATAACTATATATACATTTATATACCTAAATTATATTTATTTAAATGTAATTTTGATTAAGTTATACACTAGAATTTAAGTTACATAACCGCCCTCGTTAATTTATTACTCAAAAGTATTATTATGATTTTTTTTGTGATTAACTAGTCAGGTCTTGTTATTAAAATGTTATTATAAATATTTTATCATTATGTATAATATATTATATAATAACAACCTTATGTTTTTCTCCCTTTAGGTACATACTGTAAACTTGTGGCCTTATCTATACCGTCCCCATCCCCGAAGTCCTTCATTACAATATTATCTATTTTTATAGTATAGGAGATGTTAGAAGCTAGAATACTATGCGAGGCATATTTTACAGTGAATTATATCGCTTCATATTATTACGTTTTTATTGTCAATATAAAAATCGAGCACAGTGCTGTGAAACGTTTCACCTTATACATTTTAATCAAAAAATCAAATAAGGTGGGCTAGTAAATGTATACCTTACACATATACATAGATATAATATAGAATTATATTATATAGGTAGGTAATGTGTAATCGATTTAACTAACCCAAAACTCGGCTAACCGAATTCTCGAAATCTGTTTCGACTCATACTCTTAACACTTAAAATTTACTATTATAATAATAATTATTATTTGTACATGATATTATCTGTGTTAAATATATCGTATGTAGTCTATTTATTTTAGTAATAAAAATTATATTGGAGTTAATTGTCGAATATTTTTATTGTAGTAATTTTTATAATAATGCAAATACTATAACTATAGAAGTTATTACAGTTGAATCATTTGGTGCTATGATAATAATAATATTAATAACAGTAATTATTACAATACTGCTATCGCACACTAATCGCGTTGTTTTTTTAAGAACAATTTAGTGCGTAGACTTAAGATATTATATTTTTTTTTTTTGGAAATGTATACATTGGAAAATTTTTAAAATCACATTTTATGAAAATATATTACCTATGTTATCTATTGTTGACTCACACAAATCTATTTTATTTTTTATTTTTTATGCGACGTTTTATTTCTAACTAAGTTTTGTTTGAGTGAATCAATATTATGTATATTGTATTTATTTTAACATAAGCGCACAAAACACTTAACATTTTCAACTTATAAATTATTTATAATTATTTGTCTAAAATAAAATGCTCTGGTTTTAGTGTTGGAATAAAGATTTTTTCATTTTAAAAATCGTTCCAAACTTAAATAGTATATTATAATGGTTTAAGTACACCCGTTGAATATATTTTATTGTTTACTAATATTTATACTATAATATAGTATATTATTTATAAAAATTAAAACAATTCCATAACATTAATTGTATGGTATATAGGAAATGCTGAAGTAAACATACAGTGAAATGTTCATGTATCTACAGTTATTCGTTTTTGAATTACAACAAAATAAGAAAATCGCTACATGAGAAATCGAGTGAATATCCAATGTTGTGAAAAATTGAATTTCAAACGCTCATGAAAAATTTAATTTGACTTTCGTATAGGCATTTTTTTTTGATAAAAATAGATAATCTTAAAAGGAATCTTGTATTACATTTTAAAATCTTAGATTTCAAAAGAAAAATTATTACGAATTCTTAACTCAAAATAATTTGCTAATTTTCGTGATTTTTCCATATTTTGTCAATTTTTGAACTTTAAATGTTTATTGAAAATCCTTATTCACAGTTTGTTTCCATCTGCCTTTGAAACAATATACTAGGAGCCTTCTATTAAATTTTCAAGATTTTTTAACCAACAAATAAAATTTTATTGATATTTTTAGAAAAAAAACTAAACAAAAATGGAAAATGAAAATGTACCTAAACAGTTCAAAATAAATCAAAATATTTTGAAAATGTTATCTTGTATATAAAATGCAAATATAAGCAACCAGTGAAAATTTCATGAATCTACGGTCATTTGCTTTAAAGTTACACCAAAAACCAAATTCGATTTTGCGTAAAAATTCCCGTTTTTCCTTAATTTTTATTTTGTTTTTCTTGGCGCTTTTGTAAATTACTGGGAAGTGGGAATAGTCCATATGTTGCTTCGGCAACTCATACAAAATTTTGTTGGTGGGTGGTTGGTTGGATGTTTTGTGAATATTTACTATACTATGACTGAGTGTAACATAATTAAAAACAAAACATTATAAATACAAGTTTTGAAAAAAAAAAACTTTTTAGAAGAAAACTTAAAATGTATAATGCTATTTATATTAATTATCCAACTAGTAAATTATAATCAAAAAAACGCGTGTGTCTTAAGCGACCCTCAAAAGATGTGAAAACATATATATGAGCTTAGAAATATAATTTTGTTAAAAAAATACCTAACTTTATCGTAATATTGAACGTTTACCGTACTGTTTTTTTTGTTCACTGTTCTGAGATGTATTTGTAGTTCCTGCTTCTACTGTTTTTTCATTAGATGAATCATAACTTTTATCATCGCCCATGATAAACACAGTGAATACACTATTAACTTTATAATAATTTATAGTTTATACACAAAAATCACTATATTTTAGAAATATATGTCTATAAAACAAAATATTTTTCTCTCGTATTTAACGTAGGATTATAATTATAACCGGATTTGTATGGTTGTAGCTATTTATTCCATGAATACGATTTCATGGAAACGTCACTATTTAAAAAAATGGAGATACCTGGTTTTTTGCACCGGACCATTCAATTGCGGGTTGTGGTACCACAGCGGCCGGCGGTGTCCAGATGGTAATATGTCAATATGTGGATACCGATATCGTATACACGGACAATTTAGTATTTCTAATAACTATTTGATTAATTACATTTTTGAACTTCTCACATTAGACGGTTCATCTGCATACTAGTCACAAAGTACTCGAGTTTAAAAAATATGTATTTTATTTACACGCATATATTATATAAAATTTACGAACAAATTCAATTAAAAACAACATCGAATTAGACTGTTAGTGGCAAAATCATTTTCGATGGTTTTTGAAAAATATGGAAAAAAAGTCCGAAAATATTACCTCCATAGAAAATTCACTCGGTATACGATAAGGTAACGGTCGAAAATTTTCACTGCCATGCGGAAAGATCTGAACGCCCTTTATCACGTTTTCACATCAATAAATATAGATATGCACTTTTGATTAAAAAAGTATAGACAAATTCAACCAAGGTAGGTATTGGTTATTGGAACTGAACTACTGAATAGACAAAACGCTGGATCACGGAGTTTGAACTTTTACTTTGTTGCTTAGCAAGCAATAATTTCGAATTTCTCTGTTATCAAAGTTTCTAACGGTTACTGCTATAGAATTTCCTAGCGGTAACCGACAATTTTGATAACGGTTTCAAGCCCTGGACCAAGTTTGTTGTTTATAGTGTTCATGAGACACGTTGAGATATACCTAGTATTAGTTGATCAAATCGCCCTCGTGCACTACCAACGCGCTACAACGGACGATGTGCCGCGTGTTCGTAGTTGCGCGCTTGTGCATATGATCAAATATTAATATTGCATGTATAGGTACAATACATTTTAAGTTAACTGTTCACGTTAGTTGTCAACGATGAACTAATGTGACGCTCTAGCCGGCACTATGTTCGATGTCCGTGTTCGTAATGAGCCGCTCTACCTTAGCACAAGTCGGCCTATCGTTGCGTCTCACCTAGTCTCCAGTCTCCACCAATCAGCACGTCAACAGCTCTAACGTTACGCAAAAAGGGTAACACTCAAATAACGCTCGAAAAATATCACTGCCCAAGCGGAAAAGTCTGAACGCCCCATAAGGTGTTTTCACATCAATAATGCCTATACAGTGTTTGTGGACTTTCATTCTTGCTATGATAGATTCGGAGCGAAGCTGAAATACCAATTTTCGACAGATTCGGTTGGTGTAACTCAAAAACGATTGACCGTCGATCCTTTAAATGTTAATATTGGTATTTTCTATACTTGATAATATGTTGACACTTTTAAAGCTTTATAGCAATAAAACCTTATCGATTTTTGTAAGTTTTGTTTCAATAATTGTCAATAAATAATTTTTTGATTGATCAAAAAAATTTTTAATTGTTATGACAGTTCCTTATAAGTTGTTTAAAGTATAATTTAAAAAAAACTTGAGATTAAATCCACTCTAAAATTTTAATGATTGGCTGAAGTTGACGGAATTCCGCAAAATCATGGAAATGTGCAAAATTATTTTTCAGTTATAAGAAACATAGACAAAAGTAACATAAAAGTGGATTTAAAAACTGTTTTCATACCCTTTCCTGGTTAGAAAAAATATTTTTGCA